GAAACTTGAAATTGGGTTGGAAATGGAAAGCAGGGCAAACTCAATAACACAACAGAAAATTACATATCCCGTGTTATTTTCATCTGCTCTTTGAATGACTTGAATGTACCCATTTGGGCGTGTCTCCAGCCAATATTGGAAATGGATATTCGTAGGTATCTGGTATATAGGCATTATCTCTGTCGAGTAGTGACTAGTGTGGGTGTTAATGGATGGATACTGATCAAAATTAATCATTTACTCTCTGGATTGACATGCATGAAGACTAAATTGTATTTGATATCAGTCAAAATTTTGTGGTTAGGAAGCAAAATTTAAATGATATTGTTTACGTCATAAATTGCAAGATTTAAGATGATACCACCTGTTCAGATATATAGATAAATTGCTTGGTTGGAAGCAAATTGTTGGAGTCTTTCAATTTGCTGATATTTTTTTTGTCGAACACATTTGGTTAACACCTTTCGTATGATAGCAAAACACCATTCCAATTTATTTGGAGACCCAATTACATGGAGAAAGAAAGAAAAAAATGATTTAGGACCCAATTGACTATTTAGTATTTGCACAATTCAAATGGTTAATGGAACAATTATACCCTTTAGCTTTTCTTTATCAGCCAGTTATTATACCCTTAAGCAAATAACAGGAAATAAGGTATCAAATGAACAAGCCAAAATGACTTAAAAATCAGAGATTAATCTACCATTAAAAAACCAACCACATAAATGGAATTTGTTAAAGACATGAATTCTCACAGTTGAAACAATCGCAGCAAAAACAAGAAGGCAAACTAGCAATGCAACTGTAAGAAGAAGAAGAAAAAAAAAAGAATCATCAAGGGAAAGATCTTTACATCAAACGGCAGAGACTCGATTCTTTGTTAACCACTTCTTTTTGGCATTTTCTATGGCTTCCTCCCTCATCCTCATGAGCTCTTGGAAACAATGGTGAAACTGTGAATCAATTGCATCTAGCTCAAGTTTCAGCTCATCAGACTGGTCCTTTTCTGCTACTGATTGAGAGAAGAAGCTGGATATGCTCATATTAATAGAGCACGAATCCATCAAGGATATATCAGAATTGTTTCTGGATACAGTGATCAAAACAGATTGAGCATCTGAGTCAGCTGATATATCTGAATTGACTGATTCCTTGGCAGTTGCCTCCACTGACTGACACAAATGATTTGCCAGGCTTGAAAGACCACTAACGGGAGGAACCCAATTAGATACCAACTTTGTTATCAAATTGTCAATCAGCCCTGCAACTACAGAAACGTCTTCATTTGATAAACCTAGTTGTTCAGCCATCTCTTCAGCAATTGAATTTGCAGTATCAGAATCCAGATAGAATGTAAAGTGAATATTTCTTGCTGGACCTGCTAAAGATACCATACAAATTGTCATGAAATTATAGACAATAAGTGAAAATGGAAGGCCATTTAGTAGCAGATTACTTACCACAATGATCATCAATGCGCAATGTCAATGAAATTGTATTATCATCATTTTTATCCCCTCTCAAGCGGAATTTATCAGTCTCAGTTTCAAAGGACGACAACTGAGAAGCATCACTGAGGCTTTTTGGACAGGAATTGACTGAAGGCTTTTTGCTGTTAGGATCTGTTTCCATGGGATGAGGTTCAGAATTTGTCAAGTTCACCAAATTGGACGCAAGATTTGGGAATTGTAGAGGAACAACAAGTTCCTTAGCATTTTCAGTCAAAAGGAATGGATCTTTCAAGAGCTCCATAGCAGGTAACCTCATCGATGCTGGAAGAAGACACTTCTCTATAAATTGCTTAACTTGTGAATCATGCACTTTGCTGAGAGAAGCTGGTTTTATCCCCTGCAATGAAAAGTATACACTATCAAACAACGACTTAAAAGTAAAATGAGAAAGATAAGAAGTATTGCAAATAATTGTATACTTACAGAGGTGACCTTCTTATATATCTGTGCTGGATTTTTGCATTCACTATACGGATATTCACATGTAACCATCTCTAACATGCACATGCCAAAGGAATAGATATCAACCAGTTCATTGTATTCTTCATCATAAAGCTCTGGAGCCATGAATTCAGGAGTTCCTATATAAACAGTAGAGCAATACAAGATTCAATCAATGTGGTTTATCCAAAAGTCATAACACTCATGAAGTCAGAAAAAATAGTACCAATAACACTCCGGGCAGTGGGCTGCTGCATGACAATTGCCAATCCAAGATCACCAATTTTGACCTCTCCATTATTTCCATTCACAAATATATTGTCACATTTTAGATCTCTGTGAATGATGGGGGGATTGTGACTATGCAGATAGTGTAGACCTCTAAGAATCTGCCTAGCCCAGTTCTTGATGGCCTTGATATCAACATTCTTGTGTTTCTTACGGTATCTAAATGCCAAGAAGAAGTAAAATGTATAGCAATATAAGAAGGAAGCCAAGCAGAAAGATATATGATAGATAGATGAGATAGCAGGAACATACTGCCTCAAGCTTCCAGAAGTGAATAACTCTGTTATCATGTTGATGGTCTTGTTCTTATCATCCACCCATGAGTTTCGGAACTTAATAATGTTCTCATGTTTCAATGACTTCAGCAGATGAACCTCAGAGTATAATCTTTCCAACTGATGATGTGTCTGCATTACATCTTCAATATCGACTTGGTTCCATGCAACTTCTATTCCATCAACTTCATCAAATGCCTTGTAACTACAAGTACAGTACAGTAGCCAAAGCAGGAAACTTAAAAACAAATGTCAAGCATAATAACCGTGATAAAAGCCAAAATATTGAATCTTGAACAATAAGTATAAAGAAGATAGGTCTAGGAACCATACACAGTTTTGAATGCTCCCCTCCCCAGAATTTCATCATACTGGAGGAACAAACAAAAGAAAACAAATATGGTAAAGCTAAATCCAACAGAGCAAAGTGCCCATCTCAACTAAAATTTAAAACATATGAAAAAAATAGGGTTGACATGTTCATTATCTAATACTTTTTAATCTAAAATTATGCATGAATCAGGGTTAATTATAACAGAATGAAACACATTAAAGAAAAATAATGTATGGATGCTGGGAAACTCATGGAAAGATGAACTATCTGAAACACTAATTAAGCAGTTATAGATATCCTAACACTCAATTTCACCAAAATTTTACTTTCTTTCGTCCCATTTCTCAGCAACCAAACAGACATCTAATTAACCGAAGAAACAGACGAAATCTCATACTCGAATATATCGACCCGATGGATCTTTCTCTTCAAAATCGCAATCCTCGACCTCCATCTTCTATGTACTAAGAATTCACTGCTACCGCAACGAAAAAGGAAAAAAGATCGCAACCTTTTGGCCAAAAACGAAATTGAAGAAAAAAAGGCACAACAAGAAGACAGCTGTTACAGCTCCTCGATCGAAAACGATGGATGCTGTTTTTCAGAAAATGCCTCGCAAGCAACAGAATAGGAATCGAATGCCGATCGGAACCTAAATCGGTATCGGCACCCGACGGTGACAACCAGCGGCATCGCTTGCGGTTCCGATGACGCTAATTCCATGCGGTGGTTATTCCTCTGCCGAATCGATGGATTCATTTTAGCACAAAATCACATCTTGAAGTCGAGAAGAAGACGATCTGAGAAAGGAACCCTGCTCCGGCCACGATTCAACGGCGGCGCAGCAAGACTGCAATCGATTTAGATGGAACACAACGCACAGCGAGATCAAAGCATGATAAGCAGCAGCAGCAGCGATGGCGGCGACATCTTTTTAGGAGAAGGATCGAGTCGTCCCTTAAGGAGCGTGAAGGTGAGGTAGGAGGTTGCAGGAAGAAGTCCTTTTTCACGGGAATAATAGGTTGGCGTTAATTGCTCTAAGGGGAAGTTGTGAGAATTGCGAACAAGTCTACACGGGATAAATATATCTTGTGCGTAGGTAAAGGGGTAATTTTTT